CCTCTCCTGTTTCCCCCAGCCCTTCTTCTCCGTTAGCGCGCCGCTGACGTGCCGTCCGCACCCCTCCTCCACTGCCTTCTCCTTCTCTCCCCCCCCCCCTCGTCCTCTTCTTTTCGGGCACACTCCTCCTCGCCTGTCTCCTCCTCGCCCGCCTCGCCAGCGCACCGCCTCTCCCAGGCCTGAAGAGGGCACTGAAGCTCAACGGCTCCGACCTGGGCGGCGGCCCCGTCACCGTCGAGCAGACCGTGGAGCGGGAGGCCGCCGCGGCGCGGCGCGCGTCGGGCCGAGCGCTGCTTCTCCTCGCGCGCGCTCTTCCTCGTGCTGCGGGTGTGGCGCGGGCTCGTTCGTGCGCACGGCAGGAGGCGGGGAGGAGGAGAAGGAGGAGGAGGAGGAGGCGGAGGAGGAGGAGGAGGATTAGGATTTGAATTAGGATTAGGAGGAGAAGGAGGAGGAGGAGGAGGAGGACGGCAGGCAAGCGGCGGAAGGGGTAGCATGAGGAGCTTCCCCTCCTCCTCCCTTCCTTTTCCTGATGGATAACTCCTCCCTGTCGCACACCAGCACGCGTCGGTAGAGCGTGCCGGGCGTGTCGCCCGAGACCTCCCCAGCACCGATGGGCTTAAAGTTGAGCAGTTCGCAATGTTTTCACGGACGGAGGGCGGGCCGTTTCTAGAATGTGGTTCTCGCCCTAGCGCCGCGCGGGATCGCTGTGGAAGCTCGCGCAAGGGCAGCGCGGATGGAGGGCGGTGCTTTTGTTGTTCAAGGTGTGGCTCGCGCCGCAGAGCCGCGCGCAGTCGTCTTGAAGCTTGCAAGAGCCTCGCGGATGGAGGGCAGGCCGCTTCCATTACGGTGGAGGCCCAGGAGGTGTCCCCCCCCAGCGCGAAAAGCGCCATAATTTGCTGCCGAAGTGCTGCGACTCGCGAGGCCGAGAGTTACTCATGAGTCAGGGTTGTTCTATCGCCCGCACAGCAACAACAGGTGGTGCCAGACCCTGGGGGATTCCTTATCCAATGAGGGTGGCGGTGATATCCATGGCCGATCCACGATTGGAGTTCCACTGGCTTCCAGACCCTGGATTTCTTGTCTAAGGATTCCTCATCCAATGCCCACACCGTATGTAGATCTTGCTATAGGGCCGCGCAGGTTCGTGATAAGAATGTGCGGAAGCTTCATGAATGGAGGGCGGGTCGTTTCTAACATGTGGTTTTCGCCTTGGCGCCGCGCAAAACCGTTTTGAAAGCTTGCAATAGCTTCACGGATGGAGGGTGGTCCATTTTCGAAATGTGGTTCTCGCCGTAGCGCCGCGCCCATTCGTGCTAAAAGCTTGCAAGAGCTTTACGGATGGAGGCGGGTCGTTTTCAACATGTGGTTGGACAACTAGCGCCGCGCACAATCGTTTTAAAGGTGTTCCGGAGATTCACGGGTGGAGGGCGGTCCATTTTCAAATTTTGGTTCTCACCGTAGCGCTACGTACATTCGTGCCGAAATTTTGCAAGAGCTTCACGGATGGAGGGCCATCTTTTTCAAATTGTCGTTCTCGCCGTAGCGCCGTGCACATTCGTTGCAACATTCTGCAGCCACGAAGCGGATTCGCATGGTTGCCAATAGGGGGGTTCCAGGGCGCAAAAGTCAAGCTGATTCGCGGTGTTGAAGTCTTGAGAATTGTGTTCTGGCACGGTGCAGAGTCGTCGGGACGCAACAGCAAAGTTGATTCGCGGCGTTGCAGTCCAAGGAGTGTTGTTTCCGCACGACTCAGGATTGTATATCAGGCTGTTGTTTTCCAACGGGGCACTTGAAGCCTGGAGGGAGGGATTACTGCAACATCGTTGACGCGTCCTGGGTTTGTACTGATCTTCTGATCTTCTCCTCTGTCTGCACCAAGTTCTGCTTGTCCTTCTCCTTCGCCTCCTCCGCCTCATGATCCTCCCTCCTCCCCTTCCTCCTCCGCTCCCCTTTCCTCACTCTTCACGTTCACCTTTTCCTCGTCCTCTGCATCGTCCTCCTCCTTTCCATTCCAATCCTCTCAGGTAAAATGCCCGTTTGGGGTGGTGGGCGCGTCCTCTTTCCAGGTCCCCAACGAGAATCACGATCCAGTTGGCGTGCAACGTGCGCCTCCCAAGGAGGAACCACCATGGAAAATGGCAATGGCCTGTTCGCGCCGAGATCTGGTGGGACTCTCACGTAATATGCCCGTGTTGGGCGGTGGGCGTGTTCTCGCTTCTCGGATGACACGTGCCCCTCCCAGGGAGGAGCCACCAGGGGGTATGAGATTGGCCCGTTTGCAAAAAAAGAGAGAGGGAACAAAAAAAAGAGAGTATGACGTTGGCCCGCTCGCGCCGGGATTGGTGGGACCTCGCAGGTAGCGTGCCCGTGTGGGCCGGTGGGCGTGCTCCCGTTCAGAGCCCCTATGATCGTCGCGGTGCCCCATGCATGACGTTTGGGGCGCCCGCGAGGGGGTCCCCCCCCGCAGGTGCGCTGGCCTTCCCCAGGAAGCCCCAGGCTCGAGTACAGTGAGCGGCTTGAATGAGGAACACTTCCTTTTCAAAAGGGGCTCGGTCGTTCCTTAGGCTTGCATGCGTTATTCATCATTCCTGAATGCGTTATTTGTTATAGATCGTTCCTTCTGCGTTACTCCTTGGACAAATAAGGGGCTTCGTTCATTATTTATCGTTCCTTAGGTCAGGCCGATGACTGTACACCCTAGGCGATGCTTAAGAAAGCTCATGTTTTCGGCCAGAGTCTCGATTATTCATAACTTTTGAATGTAAATCCCAAGATTTTGATCGAAGTTCTAGGTTTATTGAATCGCTTCGCTCATTCCGCCGGCCCGTGATATGGCATCGCTGGTTTTTGTCTGTGTGTTCGTTGCCCATGTTGCGCTCTTGGGGGCGGGTGTCGTTCGGACGCGTTGCGTGGGGAGTTTTGATGGTGAAGCAGTTCCCTGGGGGTCGTCTCTCGATGGGGCGAAATAGAGTCGTCGTCAAGATGCTTCTTTGGGGGGCCTCTTGGGGTCTGTTGAGAGGCCGTTCGGGGGCGCCTGGGAGACATGTTTGAAGCCTTCTGGGGCTTCTTTTGGGCCTCCTGGGAGTCTCCTGGGGCCTCTTGGCGACATCTTGGGGCCTCTTGGAGGCCTCTTGGGGCCTCTTTGGGACCTCCTGGGCGCCTTCTGGGACGGAGGGCTCCATTTTTGAGTTCTCGGTATCCCTCCTGAGTCCCTCTTGGGCCCGTCTTGGGGCCTCTTGGTCCGTCTTGGGCGGCACTTGGGCCGTCTTGAGGGCTCTCTTGGGTCGTTTCGGCGCCGTCTTGGGAGCTTCGTGGGCCGTCTTGGAGCGGTCTTGGGGGCCTCTTGGGCCGTCTTGGAGCGTCCGGAAGCCGAAAAAGCCAGAACACAAAAAACATCGAAAAAACCAATGAAAATCAACGATTTTGGCCTCTTGGGGCTCTCTTCGGAGGCCTCTTGGAAGGCTCTTGGGGCGTCTTGGAGGCCTCTTGGGCTGTCTTGGGGGCCTTTTGGGCCGTCTTGGGGTCATCTTCGGCGTCTTCGAGCGCTCTTTGGGCGTCTCGGGGGCCTCTTGGGCAGTCTTGGGGGCCTCTTGGGGCACTCTGAGCGCGCTCTGGGGAGCCTGAGAGGCCGCACCCAGAAGGAAAACCATCTCTGAGTAGACTTGGTCGGGCGGCGGTCGGGCGGCGGGGCGGCGACCGGGCGGCGACCGGGCGTTGGTCGGGGTACTTTTCGCCGGGGGACCCCCAGGGGCCGCCCCGCGCGCGCGAACTAGAAATACTGTTAATACTGTTAACCAGTTACCGGAGATCTTAGCACGCCCTGGCCCGTTGGGCCGGCGAATTTCAATTTCTGAGACTATGAATTTCTTTACCCATGATTTCTTAAGCATTTCGCGAGGTGTACATGCCGGGGAGGCCCCGGACGCCCCCAGAGGCCCCAGCAACCCTCAGGAAAGCCGAGGAAGCCGCAGGATCCCCGCACCCACTCGTGCCCCGACGTGCCCAGAGTCCACCGCTCTTACATTGAGGTCCGCTCGTGCTCGGCCTTTCTCGCTGCCAGTCGCACAGGGTCAGGCTCGGACCCGATCACGATCAGAGCCAGGCGCTGATACGCGGACACTCTCAAACTCATACCCGTGTTGTTGTTTCTCTCTCTCTCTTTCTCTCTCTTTCATTCTCTCACACACACAAATACACACACACTCACACACACACACACACACACGCACACGGACACACACACACACATTCACACACACACACACACACACACACACACACATTCACACACACACACCACACACACGCGGACACACACAGACATACACGCATGCCCAGACCCATTCAGGCTGATCCGCTCACCCGGCCGCTCACATCCAGATCCGCTTACACACAGACCCGCTCACACCCAGGCTCGTTCGTACTCAGAGCCACTCATACTCAGAGTCACTCATACTCTGCCTCGCTCATGCTCAGAGTCGCTTCTACCCAGCCACGACTTACTCGGACTCGCTCCCGCCGAGACTGACTCGGCCTCAGCCGCTCGTACGTAATCAGACTCGCTCACACACACAGAGGCCCACTCACGCTCAGACTCTCAGAAAGGAAAGCCTTAGAAGGTGCACGATGAGATTTGCACATGTGCGACCATTCGCGTCGAATAGTTTGCTATCCTGCCCCTCGGAGGGGCACGACCACCATGGGGGCGGGGCAAGACAAGATAGGGTATCTCTATCCTCTCACCCCAGTGGTACTGGAGATGGCGCACTGGCGTGCGCGGGGCACGGGCGCCCCAGGTGCACGCACGGCACGGGACCCGGCTGCGTCGAGGCGGGGGGGGGGGGGGGATGAGGAGGGCGAGGACGCGGGCGAGGAGGACGAGGAGGACGAGGACGAGGAGGAGGGCGAGGAGGACAAGGACGAGGAGGACGAGGACGAAGACGAGGACGAGGAGGAGGACGAGGACGAGGATGAGGAGGGCGAGGACGCGGGCGAGGAGGACGAGGGGGACGAGGACGAGGAGGAGAAGCAGTCCGTGGAGGAGGCGGCAGGACACGGGGTGGGGAGCAGGAGGGGCCGTCTGCAGGCAGGCTGGTGGGCTGCTCCTGCGGCCCCGCGTGTGCTCGGACTGGCCGCGTGGTGCCAGGACCGGCCCTTCGACCCAGCAGGAGCACCTCGCCCTGCCCTGGAGAGGTGGGGCCAAGCGAGCAAGCGAGGGGAGGGGAGGGGGGTGACGGAAAGAGCGAGGGGGGAGGAGGAGGAAGCAGGAGGAGGAGGAGGAAGAAGGAGGAGGAGGAGGAAGCAGGAGGAGGAGGAGCAGCAGGAGGAGGAGGAAAAGGCGAAGCTGCGAGGGAGCGGGCGAGCGAGACAGAGCGCTGCGGGAAGTCCGCGGCGCTGCCGTGGCAAGGGCGCGCGGCTCCTCGTGCGGGGCGGGCGCCGGCCCAACGCCACCGATGATGAGCAGTCGAGGGAGGAGGAGGAGGAGGAGGAGGAGGAGGAGGAGGAGGAGGAGGAGGGAAGAGGAGGAAAGAGGAGGAGGAGGAGGAGGAGGAGGAGGAGGAGGAGGAGGAAAGAGGAGGAGGAGGAGGAGGAGGAGGAGGAGGAGGAGGAGGAGGAGGAGATGGGGTCGGAGAGTCTCGCTGCATCGCCAATGCATCGGCGATGTAGCGCGATCCAGAGTCCTGTCTTCTCCGTCCCGACTTCGCTAGCGCATCGGGGATGCATCGGCGATGCGTTGCGATCCTCCGACCCCGTCTGCTCTGACCCCATCTGCCTCCGCAGAAGCACAGCAGGCACACCAGTTTGGAAGACGGCCTGCCAGCAGGTGCCCAACGGGGGAGCGCCTTACCGCCCGGAGGGCCCGGGAGTCCCACCGAGGCCCCAGGGGCACCTCGGGGAGGCCAGAGAGGGACGACGAGTGCGCCGCCAGGTCAGTATTCGCTTTGCCGTGCGCACCTGCTGCAATACTACCCCCGCCTTCGCGCGCCCAGCCCCCAGGCGCCCGCGGGCGCCGACGCGCCCGCCCAGCAGAAGGCGGGGAAGGCGGCCCCGGAGGCCGGCGCCGCGGAGGCGGCGCCCGCGGACGCCCCCGCCCCCGCCCAGAAGAAGGCGCGGAAGGCGGCCCCGGAGGCCGACGCCGCGGAGGCGGCGGTGGACGCGGCCGAAGGGCCGGGGCCTCGGCTCGGAGCCCAGGGCGTCGCGCTGGGGGCCGGAAGGAGTCGACTAGACGTAAGAGTGACCTTTCGCAGGAGTGACCTTTGGTGCGGGCACAGATGGGTTCCCAGGTGGCTGCAAACGAAGCAGGAGCAGCGGCTTGCGCGTCCAGGTTTGGTCCCCCCGCGGCCCCCCAAAAGCCGCGCACCAAAGGTCACTCTTACCCAGGGTCACTCTTGCGTGTAGCCGAAGGAGGAGCACGGCAGGGTCAGCGCCACCAGGGGCGGGCGCGCAGCAGCGACTGCCCCGGCAGTGCGCTTTCCCCTCCCACGCGCCAGTGACGTCTGAGTCGAAAGTCCCCCCTCGTCCTCAGTCATCATCGTGCTGATGCTCCTCCGCCTCGTCCTCCTCATCATCCTCTCACCCCATCCTTATCATCAGCATTATCCTCGTCGGCCTCCTCCTAGCACAACTACGTATTGCTCATGACATCTGTCGCCTCTCTCCATCATATCCTCATCACGCGCACACTCATCCCATCACGCCGTACATTATTTCGGTTCCCCCTCGTCGTCACTGGTACCATCCAAGTCGTATTTATCCTCGCCATCCTGATTGTATGATTCGTCCTCCTTCTCCTCCCCCACCGTCGTCATTCTCCTCATCCTCCTCTAGCGCAGCCCTCGTGAGCCGCCTGGCGGTTCTGGACACTGGCGTGCGCAGCCCAGAGGCGGAAGGCGATGGCGGGGACTGCTGCGACATCATACGCGCTTGGAAGCCGTGCCAGCGTCACCAATTGGCCTGGCGGATATGCCCGACTGGGCCAGGCAGGGGAGCTGTACGTCTGGGAGGATGCCTCCTTCGGAAACGGGGGCATGGTTGCGGTTGGCGTGCCACGCTCTGGCCGCTTGCGGGCATCCTCAGGCCATGCCAGTGGGCCTGGTCATGGTTTACACTTGGCATTGCTACCATCAACGACCTCAGATACACACATGGCGGAGTTGGCCACCATCGGTGCTGCGATTTGTCGCCGGGCAGCAGCCGCGGCGCACACCTGCCTGCCAGCGCGCGCCCCTGATGAGCAGCGCCTGCCGTGGGCGGAGGCGCCGCCCGCGGGGGGGGGCGTGAGCAGGAGCCCGCGCCGTGTTTCTTCGAGAACAACATTCCTCCTCCTCCTCCTCCTCCTCCTCCTCATCCTCATCCTCATCCTCATCCTCATCCTCATCCTCATCCTCATCCTCATCCTCATCCTTCTCCTCCTCCTCCTCCTCCTCCTCGCCCTCCACTGCTCTCACCCTTCCTCCGTGCGCCCAGCAGCCCATCCCCCTTCCGCGGCCCTCCGGCAGCAGCCCCCCCCAACCACCCCGCGGCGCCCTCCTGCGGTCCTTCGCGGGGCCGACCAGGCGCGGCAGACGGCGCGACGCCCCCGCCCGCCCCCTCCCGCAGACAAACATCGCGGCGCGGGCCGGAAAGGCACGCCGCCGCGCCCTCCTCGGCGATCCATATCCAGCCCTTGCCCCCGCGTGCCTGCCGTTTTGTGGGGGGTCCCCGACCGCAACCTCCGCGGGTCTCCGCCCGGCGGAGCTGGCCTCTGACCGGGCAGCCCGCAGGCTCCCGTCGAGCAGAAGGAGGGAGGAGCAGGGGCGGGAGGAAAAAGGAGGAGGAGGAAGAGGAGGAGGAGGAGGAGGAGGAGGAGGAGGAGGAGGAGGAGGAGGAGGTAGAGAGGGAGGGACAGCAGAAAGGAAGGGAGCACAGAAGAGGAGGCGGAGAGGCTGAACAAGGAGGAGCGGCGGAGGAGTTCTAAGGATCCGGAGCCTCCGAACCAAAACTTCATGGAGGAGTCGGAGGGGGCGGGGAGGAGTCTGCCCCCCTTCTATTCCTTGTCATCGCCCCCGCCCTTCCGCCCCCAAACTGCCGCGGCCCTTCCCCGGCGCTCGACCCGAGGGGAGACCGAATGCCCCCCATCCGCCTCTGCGGGCACCGCTGCGGCGAGGCCAAGCCAGAAGGAGAAGGCTCGCGAGGAGAAGAAACGGTGGGTAAGGGCGCACGGATTCCACCTCCTCCTACTCCTCCTCCTCCTCCTCCTCCTCCTCCGCCTCCTCCTCCTCCTCCTCCTCCTCCTCCTCCTCCTCCTCCTCCTCCTCCTCATCCTCTCCTCCTCCTCCTCCTCCTCCTCCTCCTCCTCCTCCTCCTCCTCCTCCTCCTCCTCCTCCTCCTCCTCCTCCTCCTCCTCCTCCTCCTCCTCCTCCTCCTCCTCCTCATCATCATCATCAGCAGCAGCATCAGCATCAGCATCTTTCTTCCTCCTCCTTCTCCTCCCCACTGAAATCATATGCTCTGCCGCCGTTTGGCTTACGCGACGGTGCGTGCTAAACAAATTGAGATTCGTGAAAAGCCCCCTATATACACATCAGTGCCGCAACGTCTTCTCTCGTCAAGCTTCTATACCCCGCAAGACTAGTCGGTAGCGGAGCTGGGAGCGATCCCAGCTCGCGATCCACAGAACGTGCGCAGAGTGCGACGTGGACGCACATTCGCACTCCCCCTCGCCTCCGCACTGGGCAGTGGTACCGCCCTCCAATCCCTGAGCAGCTTGTGCTCATGGGTAAGTCGCCCCGGACGCACACAGACAAGCAGCATCGTCCGAGTCTCTGTGCAGATCCGGCTGCGAGGGCAAAAGCAGTTGCAGGCGACGCGATGCGAAGCGACCCGCCCACGGGAACGCCGCGACGCGCCAACGGCCCATCGCACCCCGAAGGTATTGGCCGCAGCTTTGCGTCGGTCATGACAGCGAGGCTCCTCACTGGGATAATACCGTGCCTCGTGATGTGCGCGACAGCGCTAGCCGCCCTTGCGAGCACGTCGCGCCACTCGAGTGGATAACTGCTAGTCGACAGAACCCGTCTCGGGGGCTGACACAGTTCTTTTGCATGTGCACCCTTTGGAATATCTGATTATTTGTTCCTCTCTCTCTCTCTCTACGCCCCTCCTGAGCGTCCAGTCCTCAATCTCTTCCTCCCTCGTTTCTCCTCCTCGTCCTCGTTCCCCATTCTCTTTCACCTCCCCATCCTCCGAGGCCAGCGGAGCGGAGCAGCAGGGGGAGGAGGAGGAAGAGGAGGAGGAGGAGGAAAAGGAGGAGGAGGAGGTGGAGGAGGAGGAGGAGGAGCAGGGCGAGGAGGAGGAGGAGGAGGAGGAGGAGGAGGAGGAGGAGGAGGAGGGAGGAGGGAGGAGGAAGAGGGGGAGGAGGGGAGGAGGAGGACGATGAGGAGGAGAGGAGGAGGAGGAGGAGGAAGAGGACGAGGAGGACGAGGAGGAGGAGAAGAGGAGGAGGAGGAGGAGGAGGAGGAGGAGCTGACAGCCCCCAGCGTGCCTACGGTCCACGAGCTTTCTCGACGGGACGAGGCGGTCGCCAGTTTCGAAGCCTCGAGACAGGAAGCGGTGGTGGAGGAGTGGGAGGACGACGACGACGACGACGACGACGACGACAAACCGAAAAAGAAGTGGGCCCCTGCGTGGTCCTCCGAGGGCGATCGGGGCTGTCTCCGGGGCACGCCACGCCGAGGCCGCTTCTCTCGCCCCGCCTGGCTCTCGCGCGGCGCGCCCGCGCCGGTGGCGGCCGGCCGGGCCCCCCGTCGCGGTGCTGCGCAGGCGGCCGCCGAGCCAAAAGACTGCACGGACGAAATGGGCACGGAAAGAATGGGTACAATGCCCAACAGCAGTTCCTGTTCATTTTGAACAGGCCTCGCTGTCCACGCCGCCGCGGCCTGTGTTCATTCGAGACAGAAGGCCGCCTGCCCAACAGCGGCCGCTGTTGGTTTGTGACAACATGTGTTGTTGGGCATTGTGCCCATTCTTTCCGTACCCATTTCGGGCGTCCAATACAAGAGGAGGGCGGAGAGGAGGATAATAAGAAGCAACGAACGAAGGAACCGGCCTCGGAGCTCCGCTGAGTCGACCACAGACGAGCCTTCGCTTGCACAGTCGCGTCGGGCTCCAGCTGCGATTCGTTGATGATCTATCACTTCGCGCCGCTGGCATGCTTGTCGCCAGGGAGAGGAGGAGGCCCGCCTTCAGCTTGCGCGCAACAGCTCTGGGAGGCAACCGTGCTGCCCAGAGTCCTTCCTGCTCGTTGTCAGCATTTTCCCGCCTCCTCTCTGGGCTCATTTGTGTTACCGAACCAGGGGTTGGTCTTTGGCTGATTGCAAATTGAACGATTCAAATGTAAATTTAATTTCAGCCTTGGAGTTCAGATCCCAGGACTCATTCCGCAGCCGCCAAATCAATTATGGAGTTGGAAACCCCAGAATTGAGCGATTAGAAAGATGCAGTTCGGGACTCCTCCTCCGTCTCGGCTGCCAAGTGCGAGGTGCAAGGTCGTCGGTGTCCTTGCGCCACGGCGCTACACTTTTGGAGAGGCGAGAGTGAGAGTGAGAGTGAGAGAGAGAGAGAGGAAAACAAAAACAGGCACGGTGGCCCTCGGAGGCCCTGGAGATACGCCTGCCTACTCCAGATTTCGTAATAAAGGGAGGGGGGTCTCATTTCGGGGGGGGGTCTCTTCCAGGCTATCTTGGAGGGCCTGGGAGGTCTGGGGAGGATGTTTTGGAGGGTTCTCCCACGGGGGAGGTCTGAAATGGCTTGTCTTGGAGGGTCCAGACCCCCTCCCTTTTATTACGAAATCTGGAGTACTCCACCTTCGCCCCGACGTCGTCCGCCCCGTCCTCCGGGAGGGGCGACCGGCCAGCCTCCGCTGGCGCGCGCGCCGACCGTGCCGAGGCCGGCGCCAACGCCGAATCAGAAGGGAAAAAACACGTTTTGATGTGCAGGGCGAGAGCGAACCTCTTCCGCTGAAAGCTAAGCGGGACGCGCACAGCTTTCATCAGGAAGGAAAAAAACACAAAGACACAACGAAGGGTCGACCTCCAGGAAACGATTGGGAAGTGTGGGAAGTGGAGGGGGAGACGACAGTCCAGAAAGCATGGGCAACTACAGGAGGGGGGTCCTGGGATCTGTGTCTATTTGTGTGTGTGTGTGTCCCTGGGCCCCTCTGCCAAAGTCCGTGCGAACAAGCCACCGGGACTCGCAGGAGCAAACGTCCGAGACCACCGCAGGCTGGTGACGAGCGGGGGCTGGCTCCGGCCCGCCTCGGGGCTGAGAGCTTGAGCCAGAGTGGCTGCAGCCCGACGGGGGGAAAGGAGTCAGGAGGGAAAAAAAACACAGACACAATGAATCGTCGATCCCCCAGAAAATATTTGAAAACATGGGAAGTGGGGGGGGGGAAAACAAAAAACCCGAATATATGGGAAAACATGGGGAAAATGTTTTATTGTGTGTATTTGTTTGTGTGTGTCCTGGGGCCCCGTCAAGGAGAGGAGGATCGAGGTTCGAAAGGGACTGGTGTTTTTGGATTTGCTTCGCTGTTATGGGGGGGGGGCCTTCAGGGGCGCCTGCGTCGCCACGGCTGGCTTTGCCTCTTCGAGGTGCGTGCCAGGCCGCACTCCGGGAGAGGTCTGGAGAAGGGAAAGGGAAGATGAATGGGTTGAGGGGGCGAGGGAAGGAGAGGAGGAGGAGGAGGAGGAGGAGGAGGAGGAGGAGGAGGCGGAGGAGGAGGAGAGGAGGAGAGGGAGGAGGAATAGGAGGAGTGAGGGGGAGGAGGAGGAGGAAGGGGGGAAAGGAGGGAGGAGGAGGAGGAGGAGGAGGAGGAGATGATGGGAGGAGGGAGGAAGAGTGGGAGGATGAAGGAGGAGCAAAAACGGGAGGATGGGAGGGGGCGTTGGCATGCACAGGGAGGGAAGTAGCGGCAGGTTTGAGTAGTAATATTAGTAGTAGTAGTAGTAGTAGTGGTGGTAGTAGTAGTAGTAGTAGTAAAGTAGTAGTAATAGTAGAGGTAGTTGTAGTGGTAGTGGTAGTAGTAGTAGTAGTAGTAGTAGTAGTCGTAGTAGTAGTAGTCGTAGTCGTAGTCGTAGTCGTAGTCGTAGTCGTAGTCGTAGTCGTAGTCGTAGTCGTAGTCGTAGTCGTAGTCGTAGTCGTAGTCGTAGTCGTAGTCGTAGTCGTAGGTCGTAGTCGTAGTCGTAGTCGTAGTCGTAGTCGTAGTCGTAGTCGTAGTCGTAGTCGTAGTCGTAGTCGTAGTCGTAGTCGTAGTCGTAGTCGTAGTCGTAGTCGTAGTCGTAGTCGTAGTCGTAGTCGTAGTCGTAGTCGTAGTCCGTAGTCGTAGTCGTAGTAGTCGTAGTAGTAGTAGTAGTAGTCGTAGTAGTAGTAGTAGTAGTAGTAGTAGTAGCAGTAGTAGTAGTAGTAGTAGCAGGAGTAGTAGTAGTAGTAGTAGTAGTAGTAGTAGTAGTAGTAGTCGTAGT